TGAAGCTTCTCTTATTCATTCACACAATTGAGAACTTCTCTCCTCACCAGGCATGGACTGGGAGAGTGTCACTACATTTTTTTTTCCATTTCAGGATTTCTTTTGAGCCAAAAAAAAAATATCCATGGAAATGATTTTGCATACAACGCTCAACGTTGCGCAAAAAACACCTCTCCTACTAATGCTGCTACTAATTGGGGGCGGGGGAGGAATAGGCATGGCCCCTTTTTCTCTTCTGCAGAAGCAAAAATAAAAAACCTCATAGTGGTTAACAATTTTGTTCCGCACGGTGTTAAAAAATCCATGGAAATGATTTTGCATACAATGCTCAACGTTGTGCAAAAAACACCTCTCCTACTAATGCTGCTACTAATTTGGGGGGGGGGGGGATAGGCAGGGATGTTTTTTCTTTTCTGCAGAAGAAAAAAAAAAAAAAACTCATAGTGGTTAACAATTTTGTTCCGCACGGTGTTGAAACCCCCCCCCACATTTTTTTCTATGTGACAAGAGATACTTCCTTGTTACACCTGAGGAAATGTGCAAGCGCGAAAAAAAACCCACATTTTTTTCTATGTGACAAGAGATACTTCCTTGTTACACCTGAGGAAATGTGCAAGCGTTTATCTCACCCTTTCTCCCTCTCACTCCATCCAGGCATAGCTAAATCCTTTCTCCTGAACCGGGTACCGCCTCTCTCCTCACCTCCTCTCTCCATGGTTGCACCTTAGGCTCTCTGCAAAACCACCTCTTTCTCCTGCTTCTCCAAATCAGTGCAAAGTTCTTCCTGGAACGTCGCAGAAGTTCAACATGCAATGCCTTTAAACGGGACCAGCAGCTTTGCTGGAAGTGCAAATCCTAACCTGCCCCACAGCTGTGATTTGAACGGGATACTCTGTGCAAAACGAACTCCACCGCCCATGCTGCGGGCCATGGAGGCCACGATCCTGCCGTCAGCCTCCAAACTCTGGAGTTGCTGAAGCAAGATGAAGGGGGGATTTCCCAGAGGAAGGACAGAAATCTCCTTCTGGGCAGGGCTTGGGCAGTATCACGTTCACGATCTTGGCCTGTAGGAGTGTTTGCCTCCTTTCCTGCTCACCATGTGCGGGAGAGTAAGTTTAAAGTGCTCACAAAGCATCTTGCAAGACAGAGAACTGAACCAGAAGGCAAGCAGAGAGGTGGCGGCGGCATCTTCTCATTTTTAGAAAAAAACAGAACTCTGCAGGAGCGGATTTTCGCTCACCCCAGGACCCTCCAAGGCCAAAGATATTTCCCTGCAAGGTAATTAAGTTATTTTTACCATATGTGGCACTTCAGACCAGCTGCTGTACAGTATGTTTTGCTTCACAAAATAACTTTAATCAATACCCTGTCTCATTCTGTCAGTTACAATTACAGTAAGGTAAGTGGCAGCTGCAGCATTAATTAGCAAAACCGAAGCTTACAAGCAAGAGACGCAGGCGGGCTGGACGAAGGTTTAAATGATGTGTCGGTATTTTCTCTTCTGCCGAGTCTCCAGAGACCGGCGTTGGTGGCCGGCCACGGACCGAGGCGGAGAAACCAGGTGCCTGCCATCCCTGCTTCCCTGCCTGCTTCCAGTAGGGTGGCCAGGCGATCATCGGAGGGAAGCACTCGCTGATTTATTTTACTGTATTTTTATCCTGCCTTTTCTCACCCAAACAGGATGCGAGGTGGCTCCGAGAAGTGCTGACTAAAAAGTGCAATTACAAAACAGGATAAATGCCAGCACTGAATTAAATTAAAGCTGCAATTTTAAAAACAATTTCAAAACACAGGAAAATATAGCACTGTGCCGGAAACCAATCTTTCTCAGCAGTGAGTCATCTGCTGAAAGCTTACCTGTTTCTGGTTTTGCGTTTTAAATTTCCTTGGGACTGAAGGACAACCGGAGATTTTTGTGGGGGGGCGGAGAGGTCAACCTAGCTCCCTTTGCTTAAGAATTTCAAGGCCTCATTCCCAGCCAATGCATCCCCAAGGGAGCAACGAACTGCTGGATAGCTCAGAGGTTTAGGCATCTGGCTGCAGAGCCAGAGGTGGGGAGTTCGATTCCCCCACTGGGCCTCCTGGACAGGGGCTGGATTTGATGATCCCCCAGGGTGCCGTCCGGCTCTGCAATTCTAAGCTTCTAAGATTATAAAACCAAGAGACGTGTCTCTTTTGAAATTCGGAAAACCTAAGTAAGCTCACGTGGTCCCCCAGTAGGTTTCAACCCAAGTCATGCAGGGTTTTAAAAGCAGCACTCTGCCTTGCACCCACAGAAAGAGGCCCACATCTCCCCAAACTGTTTTAAGAAGGAGCCTTGTGTTCCCCTTCATATCATCCTCCTGCCACAGCATTTCTGACCATCTGGATGTTTCCACGACCCTTTGAAAGGGAGCCCCACCTAAACGCACGTTGCGCTACCCTAACCAGGAGGTGACAGAGGCACATAGCCAGACCCACCGCCTCCAGCAAGGGCTGCACATTGGGCACCACAAATGCATGCTTGGCCAACTGAGACAGGCTGGGCACCCAGATTCAGGCCTGCGCCCAGGAACATGTCAGATTTATAGTTTAGGGTCCTGCAACCTTAGCCTGAGGCTCACACGCTGACCTTGTCCAAAGATTTTTGCATCCAACATTAAAGAAAGCTTGTTTGAACCTGGAACTTTCATAGCACATAACACGCTGGGGGGGGCACGAACTTCTGGATCGAGATGGCAGAACACAGTAGCTGAAAACCTGTTGCACAGTTACACAAACAGCAGAACTTTTAGACACAAATTGACATCAGTTGAAAATGCTCCAAAGTCACACACAAACACCTGGGAACCCTTCCAGTTCTGCAGTTCTAAGGTGACGATGACTGGTTGTGCACCAAAGCGTGAGACTCAAGTGTGCAACAGGAAATGCCCACAGAGAACTCTTAATTTCCAGCAATTCATACCCCAAAGTTAAGGTGTTTGCTTAAGCGTGCCACTGGATTTCAGCCATTAAGGGTAACAACGTCCTTGCATTTCTCTCTCATCCTTACATCCAGCAATCCTTTCCCAGCTCAGATTGCAAGGAGCGTCCCTTCTGCAGGAACCACTATTTCAATTATTATTTTATATCGCATTAGTCTTCCAAAAGCCCTTCGGCCTTGGAGAGAAAACTGGCACCAAAAAAAACGGAAGGCGAGGCAGCTGGTGCAGAAGAGGCAATTGCCATCTTGGTAATCATATTTGTGGTCCAGCACCAGGTCTATCTGTAAGCAAATTCTATGTTAATACAGATAACTGGTTTCCTGAAGCCACAGAGATTGCAGCAGAAAGGGGGGGAAATTAATACCCCTGCTGGCCATGAAACGACATTTGAATGAACAGCTCACTTTGCATAAAACTCTGCAGCAGGATGGGAGCGCTTATTGCTTCCGATACATTGAATAATTGCATGTGAAGGCATCAGTTAAGAGAATGATAAACAACTTGAACTGATGCCTTAAAATGTGGAAGAACAAGCTAGCAGAAAGTCCTGCTCAAATTGGTTCCACATAAAGCAACGCCTACGGAACTGCACAGGGCCTTGCACTCAAGCACTGTGCGCTGCGTAATTTGATTGCGCAAACAATTCACTGCATGACGACCACACCTGCCTAAGTCCTTCACATCAATCGCTTCCACCTCAACATTTCTGCTGCCGCCTGAGTAACTCAGAATTATGCAGGCAAAGCTACACAACAGGATCTCAGCCGCTGGGTTTAAATAAGAAAGCGGAGATGAGCAGCGCGCCTTAGAGTCGGACATGGCTGGACTAAAGGTCAAGGGGAACCTATCTGGCAGAGATGGTCAGTTCCTTCCTTCTTGTGAGGCTGGGCCACCCGATGCCGGCCACCTTTGTCGCCCTCTCTGGACCCATGACAATTTGTCGACTTCCTTCTTGGAAAGCTGATGCCCAGAACTCGGCTATGGCACTCAAAAGGACACCAAACTAAATCAAGTGGGACTGATGCTTCCTGTGACTCAGAAAACATGGTCCTGTAAATGCAGATGAAGACTGTGCTCCTTTTTATTTCTTTTTTTTTTCCCCACAGCTGCATCACAACACTTCGTAATGTTCAGCTTACGATCAACCTCCGGTACAGAGAAATCCTTTCTACGTCAGATGACTGCTGGTCCAGGCAGCTAACTTCTTGTGTCCCCTCCCCTTTTACATCTGTTTTTCCTAAAGGAAGAATCTTGCCTTTATCTGCTCAAACTTATTTGTTGAGTTTTAGCCCAGCAAGGTGGTTTTCCATGGCATTCCTAGTTTGAGGAGGGGGCCCATCCCTCATCGGCAAAAGGGATATAACTCCCCCCTCCCTGCCCATCCTTCCTCTTGGGATGCAGCCTACGAAGACAGATGAAGGCAGTTGGAATGGAATTAAACAAACACACACACATCTGAAGTGCTAAACTGCTAAACAGTTTGTGTTGTGAGAATATTCAAGAGAATACCCATTTTATTCACGACTTAACATCTTGGTTTTTATATAATCCCTTCCCTCCTCCCCTCGCCAGCCCTAGTTACTGCTAAAAATATTGCCACATTTCATTGCTTTATATGGTACCTAATTTAGGCAACTCAACCAGTGTTTGTAGCTTGAAGTAGGACATTTATCATCGTTATGGCCAGCGTTGCCAGCTGGCAATGCAGTAAATTAATGGGCAGTTCCTGACAAAGGAACATGGTCCGATTTGACAGATAAGGCAGTTCATGCCAACCCCACCGGTCCACGTCCAATTCCGACACAAAGGAAAAGGGACACTGAGAACTAGACCTGACAGATAGCGGCTTGCCACTCTTCACACACAAACAAGAACTTCTGGATAACATCTGGCTGTAGAGCCAGAGTTTGGGAGTTCAATTCCCCACTGTGTCTCCTTGACCTCCATGATCCATAGGGTCCCTTCCAGCTCTGCAAGACTTACAAGGGGGATAAGGTTAAATATGTGTTTACGCAGGAAGAAATATAAACCTCTTACTTTCCCATCCAAACGGCATAGCTTTCTGGAAGCCGGGGGATAAAAAGGATGGCGTTCCCACTGTCAACCTCCACGGCGCCATAGCAGTCTGCCTCCGTTACTCCGAACGTCCAGTGGAAGTACGATTCCTAGAATCAAAGACGTCAACGACAATTTATGCTTCCGAATCTTTGGTCTTGCCGAATTTTATTTGTTATAAAAAGGTCTTCCTGAGAGTAAGACTGCTATGGGTGGCAATCACAGCACGATGCAGTGGGCAGCTGTCAGACCATGACTTCGAAGATCACAACTCAAACCCTTGAGGAGTCATGAAGCCCAACGGGCAATGCCAAGCAAACTACACTTGCTTGACCTGGCCTCCCTCACAGGAATGTTGTGAGGAAACTGTGGATAGAGGAGGGGGGAGAGCCTCGTACGCTGCAAACCAGAGGAACGGCGGATTTTAAAAAACCAACAGAAATAAATGGTCTGGATTTCACACAGGGGTGCGGAAAATCCGGTTTTCCAGGTGACTTATGGCAACCATTTCAGCCAGTCTCCGCATGAATTCACTATCAATAGGTGAACCTTGATGGTTGTTTGAAATGGGTGGAGGGCAATAGCTTCCCATTCCAGGTTTAAATAGTTCAGACAGATGCAGAAACCGCCTTCCAGATGTTTTGAGTCCAGCTTTAAAGAGGGAGCCTTACAGAGAGATTTAGAAGCACAGAATCATGAATCTGGAAGGGGCCTGTTAAGGCCATTGAGCAAATAAGAAAACGGGAACAGCCCTCATTAATTATGTCACTTGGCAAATTGATTCTCCAAAGGGATTCATTTGGAGGGGCAGCATTTATTTCAGCGGAACCTAGCCCCCCCCTGCAGAAGACACACAAATTATTGCAGAACAATGACGTCCGTGCCCAAGGGCCGCCTCCTCACACACACAGGAAACACACACACCCCTTTCAGCAGATGGATTCTTCACCTTTTCTCATCCACCTCCTGTTCAGATAAACCAAAAAAAATCTCAGAGCCTCCCGGATTGGATAAAAATAAATGCTTTTTCAAAATCAAATGGATTTAAATCACGATTTAATTTTTTAAAATCGTTTTTTTGATTTAAATCGTAAAACAAATCTGATTTCCCCCCCAATTAAAATCATGATTTATTTGATTTAAACCCAATCCACCTTGCTGCCACCCTACCAAGCCTGTTCTTCCCCAGAGGTTTTATTTGGAATTTGAAATATACCACCACTAGGAAGAACTCAAACGTATATGCAAATTTAGAAAACATCTGTCAAGGGAAACATTAGAAAATGCTTTTGGCACCAGCAGTGCAGCAGATTTTTGTGGGGGATGCTTTAAGGGGATGTCGTGAGCCCTGCACAACAGCAAAACAACTGCAAAAGGAAAGCAAGCTAACGGAAAAACAAAACAGAAAGTGAACAAAGGGACTTGGTATCGTGATGCAGTAATCTGCATAGCAAGAGGCTTCAAGTGGAAGATATTCATTTACTATTTATTTTATACATTGCCTTTCTCCTCGAACTGCGACCCAAAACAGCTTACATTAAAGTTTTGGGTTTGTTTGTTTGTTTTTTTAAGGGAAAGTTAAAATGCAGTAACATTACAAACATGACTTGCTGGATAGCTCAGTGGGTTGGGTCTCTGGCTGCGGAGCCAGAGATTGGGAGTGGGTCCCTGCCCAACACAACCCCCCCCCGCCCTCCTTGACAAGGAGCTGGACTTGATAGTCCATAGGGTCCCTTCCAGCTCTGAAGTTCTAAGAGGATGATGAGGATGATCACAGACTCAGTTTCATCATGTTATTAACATGCAATGGAAGTTAGAACTTTTTCGAACCACTTCATCAAAATAGTAGCATCCGTGTGCCCTTAAAAAAGAAGAAAGCCAGCGACCGGCTGAAGTCTTTTCCACAGAACTTTAGCTCCCATTTTCAAAAGGGCAGCTGAAAGGGGTCAGGACCCCAGAAGCAACCAAGCTGGGATTTGCTGCAAGAGCAAGTCTGATGGGGACAAATTCTGCAAACTTCCCGGACTTTGCTCTTAGGTAAGGGTCAGGACTATCTAAGAGCAAAGTCACCCGGGGGGGGGGGAGTGGAGGAGAATGGTGGGGCTGATATACAGGAAACCCTTCTAGAAGGCATGACTGTACCAAACTGTCACACACACAAACACACACACAAACACACACACACGGAGAGAGGACGCGGAGACAGAGTATAAAGTCTGCAACAGTTTGAACAATATTGAACTTTGAACATCATCAATTAATGCAACACAATTACAGCTTGGGGAAATAATTATCGCTTCACATTACAAGCCAGGCCTCGGATAGATTAAGCATTTTATGGATCCGCCAATACAGTACCGTGAAGGTAGAAATAAGAGGCAAAGTCCACAGCCCTGTCTCCAAAGACACCCATACTTCAGCCAAGACAATTCCTGCAGCGGCTGTGTCATAGTATGAAACCTGGATGCCACGGACACCCAAAAGGGCCTTGACTAGGTTCAACTGGCAACTCAACGTAATGTATTGGGAGGCCAAGGAATCTGGATCCTACAGAGACCCAAAAGGGCCTTGACAGGGACGAAGGGAGCCTTCTGTTCCCAATAGTCATGGTCGGCAGTCACTAGCAGCCCCCCCCCAGAAGACCCCCAGCCTCACCCCCCCAGGTCTTTTCCTCCAGCCTAGCCTGGGAGATGTAGCAAGATCTGAAGACCCCCTGCCATGGAAAAGCAACCAAACATGCACAGAGTGCTTGCAGATGCTAGATTAGAACAGGGAGCATAGGCAAGACACCTATGTGCAACCCACTGGTGACCATTCATTTAACCTGCATAACAAATGCAGAAGTGGTGCAGAAGAACTGCAGGGTGAAGCAACACACAGTGGTGCTCATCCAGGGGTAGAGTGAAGTCTCCAGGGATTCTTGGCATGTTCTACTAAGCCACTGGTTCCTACCCTTGAGTAACCCAAGTTACACCAGCACAGCCGGTGGTGAGGGTTTCTGGGAATTGAAGTCTGAAATCAACTGGGTCACTTAGGCTGAGAACCACGGCCAGGAGCCCTTCCTGTGTGTCTAGCTACTGAGTTTGCCGACAGTCTTCATTCTCGCTCTACCCAGCCAGCCTGTGCAGAAGGAGGTGTGAAAAAGTCTCAATGGGTGGTGCATCCACAGGCGTTGCCCACACCAGCTATTGAAAGCAACCTCCTTCAGACATGACATTCAGCGGCCTGCCTCCATGTAAATGCAACCCTAAGTATTTGGAGAGGTAACCAGGGGGGCAGCAGTCATGAACCAGTACAATCCCATGGCACTCCCACATGGGCTCAGGGGAGCCCACGAGAGAGGAAAACCTGTCCCAAACTCTAGTTGACATCCATACGCATCAAACACTCACTGGCAAATGTCAACAATCACTTGGCAGGGAGGGAGTGAGCAAGATTCTACTGGTGCCTCTCGGCCATCTAGAACATCCACAAAACTCTTTAGGATCAGTAAGAATAAGAAGGTGCCATCAAGTAATCAATTATTAAATTAATTCATTTTAGAATTCATTAATTTAATCAATTATTAAATTAATTAAATAAATAAATAATAAACGGCACTGCCATTAACTCAACACACCACCCCCAGATTTCCTAGCTATAAAGAACTCGGAAGCAGTGCGTCCCTTCCTCCTCCACATGGCGATTCGGGACCCCTGGAGCAATTTGCCCAAGAGTTCATCGCATCAACCACATCAGCTTCAGATGACCCATCTCCCGAAATGTACTGCAGGGACATGAGTAAACCAGACATTCTCGGACTGCAGCTCTCAGAAGCCTTTGCCAGCACAGCTAGTGCTAAAGGCTTCTGGGAACTGTAGTCCAGGAATATCTGGGGGAGTCAAGGTTGGGAACCCCTGCAGTCGCCAACAGACAGGACGACGAATCTGGACCTTCCTGGCTTTCAGCTTTGAATTCTGCCTTAGGTCAGCCCTTCCCTCTTAGCTCAGCCCCCACCTTATTTCTGGCACACGAAGTAAACAAGGATGAAACTTTTTTAGGATTAATGAGACGAGGCATACAAAGTGCTTTGAACACTTCAAGTGCTTTGGAGACATTGCTATTAAAGCGACAATAAATGAAAATTATGCTGGTTTCGTAGGACAAGGCTTTGGTTTATAAACGTTTATTCTGTCTATTCAAGTTTATAGTGTTCCTCATAATATTACATACATCCCAAGAAGTTTACAGTGAATACCAGGAAGCAAACAAATGTAACTGTAAAATTTACCAAAGGTACATAAAGATGACAGAGAAAGCTACAGGACGCAACGGCAGGTGTTTGAAAAGTATATAAAAGGTAGCTTAGAATACTGGAAGATTTTTTTTTCCAAAGGAACATAAAAGATAACAAAGTAGACTCCAGGTACGCTTTATGCTTTTTCAATAAAGAAGTTCCTCAACTTAGAAAGAAAAGGACAGAGAAAAAGCCCTGACTTTATCTCCGAACAGCAAGATACCTGCCGAATGGGCTCGTATTTTATAGGACTCAAGAAAAATCATTTTAGCTCCATAACATTCTAAAGGCAGAAAGTTTCTGCTGGCCGTTTGCTGGACTCTAAAGCCAGCCTATAAAAGACAACATTAATGCTACCGGATTTGTACCGTCAGCCACTAAAACCAGTGGGAACCTCTTTGCGCTGGGCAAGCTTCTCATGTGCCCGAACAATAATATTTGGCTTGAACTGCTGCATATGCTGATGAAGATGATTGCACCCCGTGCACATTTAGCTGGTGTACAGACTTAATTTTACGATCAGATAATGCTGCAGTAGCAATTCTGAAATGTCGCCTGATGCAGTTTTTACATTCTTTATGAAATGATGATGCACTTTCCACTGGAGGAGATGCTTTCCAATTCACAAAGCCCATGGAAAGCAGCCAACAACTAATAAAAAGGGTGAAATCTGGGCAGGCCATCAAGCCAGGGGTGCTCTTAAGCAACACACAGAGAGAGCAGAGCTGGAGATAAAAGAAAAAAAGATAACCCTGGAGTTTGTTCATGCTAAATCTCACCTGGCGAAAGATAATGCCCGTATCTGTGCAGTATCTGTTCGTTTGCTCCCCGCCCTGCAGGAGGATGATCGACTTCTTTGGTATCTCCTTGTTTGCTCTCAGACGATCGCACAAGCGAGATCTGTTCTGGGCAAAAAGCGCTGCTGGGACTTGCAAGGTTTCCTTCCCCAGCCAGAAGGACGGCCTGCAAGGAGAAAGAATGCATTACGCTTGGTTAGCAACTGTGGTTTATGAGCGTAACATCATTTAGAAACCCCGCATTCTCTAGTTGCGAGGGGAGGGGGAAGAGGAGCCCCAGATCACTGCACCCAGAGACCACTTCAGGGTCTAAACTATCACCAGTTGAAAATAACAAGAGAAGGGCATGAACTGAGACTCATCAGAATATGGACAGCCATGAAATGACAGCATCTCCCGGGGGTTTCAAAGGAGCTGTTAAATGGAAGACAAGAGAAGACAAGATTTGAACCCCAAGGGGCTCCAGAGACCTGTGGGTCAGCACCATAATCCCTCAGCACCAACTTCAGAGACGGTTCCAAAAGGTTAAGACCAAAGCAATCATAAAAGAGTGCTTTCAAAACCGGGTTAGTCAACAACCCTTTTATGGCTGGTTCTAACAAAAACCACAGACAGGCGGAACCCTTGCATCTCTCCCACCAAACCCCACCCTCCAGATTTGTGTATTTTGAAACCTATATTATTTTATTCCTAGCGCTGGGAGAACAGAGGGATAACACCTTCACTCCTGCCCACGGGGACAATTATTCAAGAGCGTGGGCTAGAGGTGGAGGATCAAGCGACACATATTCTCAATGGCTTCCCTAGTTCTACCTCCTTGTAAGGATCCAGAAGAGGAGAACGGCATGAAACCAAGGGTTATTTCCGCATCCCAACCTGTGTCAACAAAAGTGGGCTCACATCCTTTGAAGGAAACCAGGATGTATCTCTTCCGCTCTTGCAAATTCCCATGCAGCTGAATGCATTTCTAGAAATACGTCAGTCTGAACAGCGTGCACCGATATGGTTTTATGAGTCGGGAAAGGCACAAGAAGTTAAATACCTTGAAGAAAATGAGCTTAAAAACCCCACGGACCTCAACAATGTCCACCAACATATGCCCAAACTTTCAGACAGAAAAGAAAACCCCCAACATAGAACTAGCATGGTGTGAAAAGGCTTGATGGAATGTTAAGAAATGCAATTATTCCTGAAATCCAGAGAGGAAAAATTCTATCCATGGCTTGTGAGTTTAGCCAATGAAGACGCCACCTTCTCAAACTTGACTGCTTCCAGATGGCTTCTCGAAATGCCTTGTCTCAGTAATTAAAGCAGATCATGCACAAAGTACACCGTTGTGGAAGAAACAATGATTACGCCTTCAGCTATCCATAGTTACGACACGGTTGCTAAGAGGAAGAAAACAGGTATGAATCCCACATTAACCTGAGACTGCAGCATTCCCTCACGTATTAATTATTACATGGTGCTCTCGGGAAACGGGGAACTCTGAAAAATAACCTTTGTTTTACAGCTACAACGAGCAACCTTCAATGTGATTCCACAACTCCAGAACAGACATTTTATGCAGCCAACGCAGCATAAAAGCACTTATTATTCATCTATACCATATGGAGACAATTCCGTAAAAGCTAGAAGATCAGACTTTCTCAGTACACTAAAGCAGTTTCTAAAGCTCTGGTCAGCAACTAATTTCTAACTGGCCGGGGCTCAAGGGCCAACCACAGGACTTGTGCCTGCTGAGCCAGGTACAGGCCAAAGTGCCATATACAGTGGTGCTTCGCTAAACGATGTTAATTCGTCCCGTGAAAATCGCTGTCTTGCAAAAACATTGTTTTGTAAAACATGATTCCCCATTGGAATGCATTAAAATCTATCTAATGCATGCCAATGGGAAAAACATTGTTTCGCGAAAATCGTCCATAGAAAACATTGTTTTGCAAAACGCGATTCCCCATTGGAATGCACTGAAATCCATAGAAAAATCGTTTTGCGAAGCACGGCTTCCCATTGGAATGCACTGAAATCTATTCAGTGCATTCCAATGGGGAAAAATTGTCATCTTCACTGCGTTCCAATTGGGAAAAATGCTCGTCTTGCGAAAATCGTCTATAGGAAACCATCATTTTGCGAAGCGCAACAGCGATCGCAAAAACTAATCATCTAGAGGATTAATCATCCCACGAGGCACCACTGTAAATTCCTTTCCCTTAAGAACAGCACAAGCCTGGAAGTGCCTGCCTTCGGCACAGACCAGCTTTGGATTAAAAAGGCCTTTGCTTGTACACAGGAGTGACCAGCTCAAGTCCATCATCTTCATTTATTTAATTATAGGCAGGATCCTACTGGCAACTGATGCATGCGCGAGGGAAACTGCCTAAGTCATTACGGCAAATCACAGCTAACTAACGAGATGCTGTTGGCGTTCCTGGGTGCATTTGCCTAGGAATGCCACCAGGACCTGGAGAATTAGAGGCAATTTGTCATCTGAATTCCCTTACCTGTACATCACTGGTGGGACCCTGCCCCAAATTTACATCTCACCCTTCATCACAACCCCAAGGCAAGTCACAGGAGCATCAGAACAACAAAATTAACAAGGCCAGTAAAAGGGAAAGCAAAGTACAACAGAGAGCTAGCTTCCACTGGAAATGCAGAAATGTCCAAGCCAACAAATGGCATTAAAGTTAGTGACGGGCATACATTTTAGTTGGGCTGCCATCACCAACAATGGCTTTTCTCCCCATCAACACCCAATGCTCTCCCTTGGACAGTGAGATAGACACTCTCCAAGCAGGCTACTTCTGGAAGGGGCAACCTTTCGGGCATCTCCCAGACTTTTAAGGCCACGTGGGTTAACACCAACATCTTTCATCTGGTGTGGCACTAAAGCAGACCTTTTTGAGTTCTGCCAGGACTTTCCTGCAGGTGGACTGTCAACGGGCCATCTCAGACGCATACTCAGGGATCACCCAACCACATGCAGATGGCATCTGAGTGCTTGAAGGCAACCACAAATTTTTTGTGGCTTAAAGCAAGTACAACTGGGGCAGAAGAAAAGGGCTGGTGCAAAACTGTGAACAATTTTTATGCGTGATGGCCGATTTTCTTAACGCAACTGCGGAGGAAGAAAAGGGCTGGTGAAAAACTGAACGATTTTTATGCGTGATGGCCGATTTTCTTAATGATACAAATCTCCAAACAATAATCTAGTTCAAAATTAATTCTGAAACCAGACATATGCTTTCAAGGCTATATGTATTTCTGGAGTGAGTTAAGTATCTGACTGCAGATAAGGAAGGAATGGGAAGCCACTTTTGAATATTCGCTACCTAGAAAAACCCTTAAAAGGTCTCCATAAGTCAGAGCGAGGTGTCCAGCTGTGGAGCCGAAGTTCAGCTCCCCACTGTGTCTCCTATGAGCAGAGTCAGCCTAGGTAGCCTTGGGCAAGCTGCACAGTCCCAGGGCATCCCCAGAAGAAGGGAGTCGGAAAACTCATTTCTGAATATTGTCTAGCTGGGAAACCCTGGAAAGGAGAATTGATCTGATGACATATCATCATTTCTTAAAGTCTAACCACATTCATGTCTGCAGGGTCAGCCCATGTAGATGCGATGAAGTGATGGTTGCCATTCAATTGCACCACCTACTCAACCCATTTTGAATTATTCACTGTTTTACCCTTTTTCAGTCTTTATTTGCCCGTCTTCTCTTTTTCTGCTCTAACATCAGGAGGCAGAGCTCCTCTGTCAAGAACCAACCACTCAGCCAGGTTTAATGGGTTCTCTTATATTAATAATAATAATAACCCAAGGTAAAACGTTCATGTCTGTTTATGGCAGGCCCCGGCACATATTCCTAGCAATTTGGGGGCCAAGTTCATAACCCAAAATCAATGAATGCATGCTTTGAAGGAAATGATTCTGAAGCCCACAGCTTATTGGGTTGTGCAATCATCCATGTAAGCCAATGTTATTCCGTAGTAAAGCTTTGTTCTCGGCTGGATTGACTTTTAAATCGATGGGAAGACAGGTTTAAACATGTGGCAGGGTGGATAAAAATCAATGGTGTTTTAAAATCAAATTAGTTTAAATAAAAAATGTGATTTTATTTAAAATTTAAATTGTTAAAAAAACTACCATTACTACCATTTAAAAAAAAAGAATTGTGATTTAGAACAACTTGATTTAAATCAAATCCACCCTGATCCGTGGCCATGTTTTCTGAATGAGAATCCAATATATTTTCTAAACAAGAATGTCTCCTGACTAGCTACCTTATCTAGTTCCCTGGCTAGCAACCTTCGAGAAACAAGGAGGCGTAAGCCAAGCCTGCTGGACAAGCGCCTGGCAGATAATCCAGAATGACGTCACCTTGGAGACAAGGGAAAAATGTCTATCTTCGAATTTCTGTAAGTATGCAAGGATACTGAATGAGACCACAGACTTGGAGGTTAAGGATCCAGTTCTGCCTGTGCTGCTCAGAGTGTTGTTTCCATGAAGTAAGGAAAGTGCTGGAGAAGAGAAGCTTGTTAGAATCCACAAACACCCATAGCTTGCCTATAACCAGCTTTAAACTCACCATAAGATGATGCCTGGTAGACATTTGATTTTTGTTTTGTTTTGTTTTGTTTTGGACATTTGAATTTTTTTTTTGGAACATTCAATTGATCATTTGTCTGCACTCGCCACAAGTTACTGGTGCATGGCTGAAGATGTGGTTTTTAATTCGTGAAAGTGTGCATTGCTTGTTTGATTTTGTTGTGGTCTAATAAAGATGTCACATTTTTCTACATTGGTACCGTGCAACGACCACACAGCCCCCATTGTGGTGGTTTTGTAGTCACTGTTTTTGTCTGTTTTTGTTAGAAAAAACCATTCGTATTTACTAGGCATCCACAGCAACAATAAGAAAAAAGAAGGCTTGCAGCATCTTGGGAAAAATCAGCCCCGTTTGGGGTTTACAATCCACTTCTTCAGACTTACGGAGCACAATTTTTTTTTCACTGACAGCTACACCACTGAGATAAAGGCAATGGAAAAAAACCAAAAGGTAGTTGGAAAATTTCTCTTGCTCAGTTGATAAACAGGTTGTGTTGGAAAGCATATCCAAGCGATTGTGAGATTTCCCAACCCTCCAAACATTGACTCTATCGTCATAGTTTCC